AAGCATGGCATTCTTTTTGTTCAGTAAACAAAGTGACCATGTTTTTAAAAGTCAATTTGGACTTTTCTTGAATTCAGACTGGCTTTTTTCAGATGAACTCAAACTAGGGTTTCCCATTCTTTGCAAAGAGAGCCTTGCATTTCAAGAACCTGACTAAAGTTAAGAATCTATACCCTCAACAGCCATCTTTGGGAAAGCCCTCACATGCCTGGGGCCACAGTACTCCTTGAGCATGGTACCATGCCTGCTGTCTCCTCCCAGACTCTTGGGGAGAAATGAGTCCACTGTACCCGCACAAACATAGTGGTGAAGAGGTACCAACACTAATTCAACCTTAATAAATAATTAAATAATTGGACTTCCAAGGAAACAGCATGGGTCTGTTATGATTAAACACACCAGCTGACACCCCATTAAATGCTGATTGTTCAATAAACCAAACTCCAAATCAAACTCACAGCTGTCGAGTCGGTCCCAACTCATAGCAACCCCTCCTTGGGTTTTCTAAGGCATATCTCTACAGAAGGAGATCTCCCAGTCTTCCTTCGAGGAGTGGCTGGTGGGTTTGAACCACCAGCCTTCTAGTTAGCAGTCAAGTGCCTTAGGCACTATGCCACCAGAGCTCCTGATTGTTCAATACAGTCTATCTACACACAGAACTATATGTAAATTAACAAAAAGGAACCACACGATGGACACGATTATACCCGTTTTTCACTTGAAACCCTTTCTGCATGTGCCCATAGTGAGCTCTCTCATCCATTTTAATACCTGCATAGAACCCTACTGAATCAATGGAAGGGCCATAATTCATTTATCCAGTCTTCTCTTAGACATTTGGTCAACATATGAATATCCTTGACAGGTTTTTTGGCAAACTTTTGTGTACATATCCCTGGGGAAATTTTCTAGCAATGAAATTACTGAGTCAAAAGGTATATATGTTTAAAACAGACACATGGTGCCTAATTGCCCTCAAGGCATCACGCCAATTGGCACCATTCACAAAGACAACAAGAATTTACATTTCAGTCCAAGGTATGTAGTAACAGGGCCTGCTCTGTGCCCTTCTGCCCTGAATATCTTTATTGGTGCCACTATTATACACACAGAAGATAATAATATTGCTTAATACTCTGTACTCTATGCCAGGCATTGTTCTGAGTGTTTGACATTTAACTCTTTATGTAGTAGGTACTGTTTTTATCACCATTAATCAATGAGGAAATTAGGGCACAGAAATACTGAGTAACTTGCCCAAGGTCACAAAGCTAGTACACAAAAGGAGTCAGGAATCTAACTTCATCACTAGCTACAGCACTTCCTCTAAAGAGAGAAACTCAGTTTTGTATTTTTGCTATTAAAGAAAGAAAAAAAGAATTAGGTGCAATAATCCTTTCATTTAATCACCTCCCAAATCAGACCAAGTTCTTTGGGCACAGTGACACTTAATGAAGAAGAGTACATATTACCACTCTTATATGTTGCCCCAAAGTATTTACTGCAATATATTATTTGTTTCCAAGAGCACTGGTAAGGAAATGTAATAAACCCAATTAGAACCACTCTGAGCAACCAGCTGCATCTTAAAAAAAAGCCAAAAGATCAACATGCAAGCAGAGTAAATGACCAAGAAAGTAAACTGCATTTCTATGAAAAACATTTATCAAATACAATTTAAAAGAAATTCAAATAGTCTTTATCACTTTGATAAATTTCAAACACTCTCCTTATGCAATCAGTCAATATAAATATATTCTTGGTTTGCTGAATGCTCTCTAGCATTACCAACTGCCTCCAGTATTTACAAGACAACATTCTGAATAAAAGAGCTCAGGGAAAAAATCCCTACACCTTCACTGGGAGTGACATGCATGTCTCCTTCTTCATTAGCAAGTGCCACTATCTTATATTTGACATGCAGTGACCCAAGTTCCCCCTGCTCTGTAGCCTCATGAAATGCTGGCATCTGGGTCTTGTTGATGTCACTGGGATCTACACAAGATGAGCAGTACCTTTTTGAATCACAAATCAGGACATGACTTGTGGAACAGAATATCCAGGAAGAGTAGACATAAAGTAACAGAGGGTCCTCTCAGTCCCTCTCAGTAACTGCCCCTGGATTAGGTTCCCAGTGAGTGGCAGGAGTATAGCAAATGCCTAGGCCCCAAAGATTCAAAGCGGAACTTCATGGTGGAAAATCATTAGTGAAAATGTTCCACAAAACCTCTCACACTGCCAAGGGACCACAAAGCCTCAGAATACACAGAAAACACAAATCCAAAACATCAAGTAGTCCCCTTTCATTTAATTCAGGCAAATTTTATGAAATCTACCTACCCTAAGCCAGATCCTTTGCTGGACACTCACCTGGTAGTCCCTCTACTCAGAAACAAGTCACTCTTACTGACAACACTGAAACAAAAACCTGTGTGCCTCCGGGTGGGGGGGAAGTGGCCAAAAAAGGTAAATGGGACAGATGAGAGCAAGCCCAACCAGACCTAGCTTCTTATCTAAATTCTGACCCCGAATGCTACAGGTAACACCTCCCTTCCAATCTGTGTGCATGTCTACAAATGCTGTGAGTTACAGGAGGACTGAGGACTAGGGATGCCCTCAATGAAAGCCAGCCGCTACCCTTCCTAGAGTGGGTATCATGTAAGATGAAGTAACTTCTCTAGTCCCCCCTTACATAGTAAGTGCTTAACATGCCATGGCTAAAGTAGGTAGGTGAGGCGATGAAGGAGCCTGAATACTAAAAATTTAACTGGTCGATACAGTAGAACTGCAGCTGCCTGTCTCTCTTTCCTTCATCACAACCCCCTAAACAGCACACCGTCAAAATCAGAGGAATTGTACATAATAGTCATTGGACTATTAATTATTTATTTGACAGTTCTAAGCAAGTCTGCGACAGAACATTAGAGAAACACACCAGGTAGACCTCTGAAATTTAGATACTCTGAAAACACCACTTCCTGACTGAGAGAATTGTTCCATGTTTTTATTTGCTAAATGGAAACTGTCTAAACTCCTTTCCATCAAGCCAGCCCTCTCTTATCCTCTCCTGCATTTGCATAAAAATTGAACACACTCACCAGACAAGAGTGCATCTGTTGAAGAATTTGATTTCTCTTTTCCATTCTTCTATTTTGTGTCATATATACCCTACAGATACTGCCTGGATCCCTCCAAATGCTGCTGCTGAAATCCCTTTTGTTCTGATTTGAAGAACGTTGCATGAGAGACATTTTATTCTATTAAATTTTATTTTCCTGTAAGAAGGCCTCACAATCCCTTGAGACCAAGCCTGAGACATATATAACCAAATCACAAGACAGTTAGTTTAGGAATTTATCCAGAGAGGGGCTCTGCATTTATATTTCAGAATTTGTTGTTTGCTTAAAAGTGTGCTGTGAAGGTGGAATGTTTTTCTCTAAACCCGTGTAAAAGAATAATTCAGTACTTCATTGGGAAAAACAACAGAAGGCCAAGATTTCCCAAAAAAGCCATTGCTGCATTTTTGGCACCTGCAAAGATGTGCTTGCAAATGTGTTTTTTGTTTTTAAGTATCACTACCTGCAATTTGACAGTCCTGCAGCAGCATGGATCACCCCACCCCACCCCTTTTGCACTTTATGGATTACAGGCTCCCCACTTTCACAAATAAAACCAAAGCTACCAGTCCCAAAGCAAGCAGAGACAGGGAAGCATTGGTATGCAGAACACACTGTCACCCTTATATAGGTCACTGCTGGAGGACTGTACTGTGCATGTACTTAAGCCCTGCTTCTGTATCAAGCCCCATTGCCACTCACATCTCCCCCGTTCTAGCCTGCGGTTCCCTGGAGTGACAGGTACTTTCAGCCCTATAAGTACCTAGACACTGACTATGCCCACAGCCAACAGCCTCAGGAAACCTGGCACTTCCAGAAAGCAAGCAGTGTGGCCATTCAGAGGGCACTTGTGGCCGCAATAAATGGAGAATGCATTTATACATACTCAACTCTAAGAAGATGGGATTGAAATTTATCTCTGTGTGATAAACACTATGAATTGCATTTGACAGACATTTTCTATATGAATGCAATTTACTATGTTATTACCAGTTTATGTTTATATAATGAAATCAACTGTTTTTGTGAGGTGAATTACCCAGATTTATTTTTTCCAAGTTTATAATTAAATGGCACTTAAATATTTCCTCCCTGCTTTCTATCTGTGCATCACACAGACAGTAGAGTCTGGGAAAGGAGGCACTTAAACTATGATCATTTCTGAGGGAGAGAGAAGTAGCAGCTTTCTAAGAAGGGAAAAAAATTATTTTAAAAGAGAAACTAAAGGTGAAGATACTGGAGACTGCATCTCCTCCTAAGTGTCACAGCCTCTACCAAGACACAGGTCAATCATTTTTATAAACACAACAGTAGCAAGCAGAGTGGGTGGCCATAGTGCTGTATAGGACACAGCTGCAGGCTTACTCTCTATACAAAACCAAACAAAAGCCAAAACCACTGCCATCAAGTTGATTCTGACTCACGGGGACTCTGTAGGGCAGAGCAGAACTGCCCCACATTTCCAAGGCTATAAATCTTGATGGAAGCCGACTTCTACATCTCCTGTGGATAGGACTGTAGGTTCAAACCACTAACCTTTCATCAGTTAGAAGTTGAGCGCTTACCTACTGTGCCACTAGGGCTCCTTCACTCTATACAAAGTGAAAAACCCCTCCAGTCAGCTTTCAAATGATGCTTCTGAGACCAAATCTGCCACTCCAGCCCTGAGACAAGGGAAACTACTCCAATCCCACTTCCCAATACTGAGAAGTCATTGGTAGTTCCATTTTTATTTTATTTTTTAATGAAAACGAAAACCCACGTAATATTATTGCTAGAATACCCTGCCCAGACTTGAGGACTTTTTGTTTGTCCATTTATTATAACTTAGTTGAAAGCAATTATGCATATCCTCACATGCTCTCTGGGGAACCACCTCATTACCTGAGACAGCCAAGAAGTCATCAATGGAAGTAATGTCATCTACAGCATCTGTGAGGACACGGACTTGTTTTTCCCACTGTTCTTTAAAAAGATCCATATTCTCTTGGGCCAGTTTACTCTGCGGTTTTGCCGCTAATGCCAGTGCAGCATTGATAACCTGCAAAAGATATTAAAGTTCACGGGTTTACTTACTTTGTTTCAGAGTCATCCAAATAAGAGAGGATAATATGTCAGTAGAGTGGCTGTGGCTTTGTCTCACCTGCATTTTATTAGGACACTGTTCACATGTTCACCACAAACCTTACACAGTTGAAGCAGAGAAGTACTAAACAATAGCTTTTATATATGTATGTAGACGTAATATATATTTCATTTGGAAACTAAGGACGATTATAAAACAAAAAATATCTCTTATCTCTCCACTCTGCAATAGCAGCTCTGTATAATTTTTGGTATTAAATTCCAGGCCTTTTTATCCTCAAATATACACATAAATTGACGTATCAAAAAATAAGCAATTATAAATATATGTTACATAAACTGACTATCCTGTTCCTTCCTTTAAACACCTACATGAATTACTAAATATATGTGGAAGACATTACTATCCTACCTAAATATATATCCCATTCCAAGGGTAGCCCTGGTTCCCTTTTGTAAAAAAAATTAAGGCATAATCTACATATGAGAAACTGAAAGTGTATAAATTTTTTTAAAAAAACATACCATTTTATTCTCTGGTAGCATAGTGTCTAAGGCATCTGACTACTAGCCAGAAGGCTGGGGGTTCAAACCCACCAGGCACAACTTGGAAGGAAGACTAGACAACTTACTTCCATAAAGATACTGCCTCGGAAACCTATGGAGGGGTTGCTATGAGTCAGAATCAAATCAACAGCAGTTGAGTTTGGTTTAGGTTTTTATATACTATTTTACTGAGATGTAAATCACGTATCATGTAATTCAGCCATTAAAAACAGTATACAATTCAAAGATTGTTAGGTACAGTCAGAATTGTGCAAATGTCACCACAATTTCAGAACATTTTCATCTCCCCAAAATGAACCTTGTATCAGTCATTCCCAATTTCCATCAACTCTCATTCTCCCAGCCCTTTGTCTCTTTGAATTTGCCTATTCTGGGTATTTCTTTTATGGAATCTTATAATAAATGGACTTTTATGATTAGCTTCTTTTACTTAGCATAATGTTTACAAGACTCTTCCATCCTGTAATGTGTTTGTTCTCAGTAATTCATTTTTTTTATTACCAAGTAATATTCCATTATGGGAGCTCTGGTAGCATAGTGGCTAAGACACTTGCCTGCTAACCAGACGGCTGGCGGTTCAAACCCACCAGCCACTCCTCGGAAGGAAGGTTGGGCAATCCTACTTCCGTAGTGATACTGCCTCGGAAACCCAAGGAGGGGTCGCTATGAGTCGGGGCCGACTCGACGGCACATAACAACAACAACAACAACAATATTCCATTATATGGCTGTACCATGTTTTATTTATCAGTTGATAGACATTTGTTTCTACTTTTTAGCAATAATGAAAAATGATGCTATGAACATTCATTATGTACATTTTTGTGTTTTCATTTCTCGAGTATATATGTAGGGATAGAATTGATGGGTCATAAGGTAGCTCGATATTTAACCATGTAACTGTCAGACTCTTTTCCAAAGCAGCTATACCATTTTACATTCCCACCAGTAAAGTATGAGTGTTCCAATTTCTCCACATCCTCTCCACACTTGTTATACCCATACCCTTTTTTAAATTATAACCTTCCTACCAAGCATGACAAACTGATGGATAAGTGGTGGCTTGTGTGTTACTACGATGCTGGAAGTTATGCCACCGGTGTTTCAAATACCAGCAAGGTCACGCAGGGTGGGTAAGTTTCAGCAGAGCTTCCAGACTAAGACAAACTAGGAAAAAGAAAAAGACAGTTCACTTCTGAAAAAATTAGCCACTAAAACCTTCATAACAGGGAAGCACTGTCTAACACAATGCTAGACGATGAGCCCCTCAGATTGGAAGGTATTCAGAATATGACTAGGGAAGAACTGCCTCCTCAAAGTACAGGCAACCTTAATGACATGGATGGAATAAAACTTTTGGGATCTCCATTTGCTGATGTGCCACGACTCAAAATAAGAATCAGCTGGAAATATCCATTACTAATACGAATGGAGGATGTATCAATCTAGGAAAACTAGAAGATGGCAAAAAAGAACCAGAATGCATAAAGATTGATACCCTAGACATGAGTGAACTGAAATAGACTGGTAGTGACCATTTTGAATCAGACAATCATATGGCCAGGAATGACAAATTGAAGAGGGATGGTGTCACATTTATTGTCAAAAAGAACATTTAAAGGTCTATTCTGAAGTACAATGCTGTCAGCAATAAGATAATAACCATACACCTACAAGAAACACCAGCTGATACTATTATTCAAATTTATGCACCGATCACTAAAGCCAAAGATGAAGAAATAGAAGATTTTTTATCAAATTCTTAAGTCTGAAATTGACCAAACAGCCAATCAAGATGTATTGATAATAACTGGTGACTGCAATGGGAAAGTGGGAAGACAAAGGAGTAGCATCAGTACTTGGAGAATATGGCCTTGGTGATAGAAAGGATGTCATGTTATTAGGAGGCACCAGTACCTGGAGAAAGATATCATACTTGGTAAAGCAGAGGATTAGATAAAAAGGGGAGGACTCTCAATGAGATGGATCAACACAGCGGCTCCCGCAGTGGGCTCAAGCATAGCAGCAAGGTCAGGATGGCACAGGACCAGGTGACGTTTCATTCCGTTGTACACTGGTATACTAGGAGTTGAAACCGACTCACTGACACCTAGCAAAACACACAGTGGGTATGAAGTGGTATCTCATTATAGTTTTCATTTGCATTTTCCTGACAGCTAATGATGGCATATCATTTCATGTACTTATTGGCCATTTGCATATGTTGTTTTCAGAGGTGTCTATTTGAATCCTTTGATATGCAAGTCAAATGAGCAAGTAACGTGAGTAGTAGGAAATTGAGGGAGATATTAGTAAGATTTCTAGGTACAAGGGTGCTTATGAATTATTGGGGGAAAATGTGTTTATAATAATAGAACTTGGAAACAAAGCAAAGACAGGAGGAAACTGGTGTGATGGAGCAGAAATCTAAATGAGTAAGAATAATCCTCTTTGATATCATCCCAAAATTCATCTCGTTTTCAGTCACTGGTGTTCAATATGTTAAATCAATTAATAATAATAATAATAATAGTGTCTAAGGCATGTCACTGCTAACCAGAAGGCTGGCAATTCAAACCCACCAGCCACTCCTCTGCAGAAAGACTGGGCAATCTACTTCCGTGGAGACACTGCCTTGGAAACTCAAGGAGGGGTCGCTACAAGTTGGATTCGACTCGACAGCAGTGAATTTAAGAAGAATACTTGTTGCACAGGAGGCATCAGCAGTGCAAACCTGAGCTTATGAGGAAGGATGATATTTTAGGTTCTACAGTTGCTACACCCACCACTTGTCTGGCCATTTATTGTACTGTGCTGGCTTGTGTGTTCCTGTGAATCTGGAGGGTAGACCACCAGTACTTCCAGTACCATCAAGGGACACCCATGGTGGACAGGATTCAGCAGAGCTTCCAGATTAAGACAGACTCAGAAGAAAGAAGGGGCCATCCACTTCTAATATAACTGGCCAGAAAAAATCTTAGGAATAGCATTGAAACACTGATATAGTGCAAGAAGATGAGCCCCTCAGGTTGGAAGGCACAAAAAATATGACTGGGAAGAGATGCCTCAAAGGAGAGGTGACCTTAATGACTCTGTGGATGAAGTAAAGCTTTCAGGACCTCCATTTATGAATGGGACTCAAAATGGGAATAAAGAGCAGCAAACATCCATTAATAACTAGAACATCAACTGTATGAAGTATGAATCTAGGAAAATTGGAAGTTGTCAAAAAATGAAATGGAACACATCAGGATTGACATCCTAGGCATCAATGAGCTGAAATGGACTGCTTTTGGCCATTCTGAGTCAGACAATCATATGATCTACTACTATGATAGGAATGACAAATTGAAGAGGATCATCACAAAGAACATTTAGAAATCTATCCTGAAGTACAACACTGTCAGTGTCCATACACCTATAACGAAGACCAGTTAATAAAACTACTTTTCAAATTTACACACCAATGACTAAAGCCAAAGATGAGGAAATTGAAGATTTTTTCCAACTTCTGCAGCTTTAAATTGACCAAACATGAAATCAAGACATATTGATTATTACTGGTGATTGAAATGTTAAAGTTGGAAACAAAGAATCACTGGCAGTTGAAAATATGGCCTTGGTGATAGAAATGATGCTGGAGATCGCATGATAGAATTTTCAAGGTCCAATGATTTATTCATTGCAAATACCTTTTTTCAACAACATAAACAGTGGCTATACATGAGGACCACACCAGATGGAATACACAGGAATCAGATCAACTACATCTGTGGAAAGAGGTCTTGCAGAAGCTTGGTTATCTTCAGCCAAAACAAGGACAAGAGGTGACTGTGGAACAGGCCATCAACTGCTCATATGCAAGCTCAAGTTGAAGCAAAAGACAATAAAAACAAGTCCACAAGAGCCAAAATATGACTTTGATTATACCCGACCTGCATGCAGAGAACAGATTTAACATATTGAACACCAGTGACTGAAAATGAGATGAATTTTTGGGATGATATCAAGAACATCATCTATGAAGAAAGCAAAAGGTCACTAAAGAGACAGGAAAGGAAGAAAAGACCAAAATGGATGTCAGAAGAGACTTTGAAACTTCCTCTTGAATGGAGAGTAGCAAAAGCAAATGGAAGAAATGACAAGATAAAAGACCTGAATGGCAGATTTCAAAAGGCAACGTGAGAAGACAAAGTTAATTATTGTAATGAAATGTGCAAAGACCTGGAGTTAGAAAACCAAAAGGGAAGAACATGCTTGGCGATTCTCAAACTGAAAGAACTTAAGAAAAAATTCAAGCTTTGCGTTACAATACCAAAAGAATCTATGAGTAAAATATTGAAAGCATCCAAAGAAAATAGAAGGAATACACAGAGCCCCTGTAACAAA